TAATACACGTAATAAAACGATTACCTCGATGATGGCTCCTTCGAATGCTGAGGCGTCTTTACCGTTTCCTCTGAGGTCATCAACTAACTTTTGTAAGCACATTGCCGCTTTTCCGAGATGATTACAAGCGACGGAATACTTCGCGACTAATAGCAACACCTTTAAAAAACGAAATTAGGATAGAGCTTTTACAAAAAGAGGTATGCCACAAAAGGTGATATTGCCTTACCCTCACGGCTGTAAAATATTTGCATAAAATTGGAAAATTAGGAAAGTTTCGCATCACCTTTACATCGTCAGGCGATATTCAAGTAAGGAGGTCATGATATGCTGTCTAATTGTCTTGTAATGTATGGGTTTCACTGTCCTGGAATGCCTCAAATGTCAATAATATGTACTACTACGCGTTAGCAATATACATAGTAAAAAATTACTCACTTCTTCAACGGCAGTAGTAACATCTTCTGCCTTCACATCGTCGTCGTCCTTCGGTTTCTTCGGTTTCTCGTCGACCTGAGCCTGCAATATTTAAAAATGCATCCTATCACATGCTGTATAGTTTTGAAAGAAGTACCTTTGGTTGCTGAGCTACGCCAAACACTGGTCCTAATGGCTTTCGGAAACAGGCAGGACAGTCCTTCTTCTGTTTCAAAAAACCGTCAACAACACGATGAGCCCGGGCCAGCATACAATCAATTATTGCTTCCTTCCGTTCCTCCATCTCTCTTAAAGGAAAAGAAATATTCGAACACATACAGCCTCACTAAGCATGAATGTCTGGACTGTTTGTGGCGCCCGTCTGTTGTCACGAAGTTCGTTGTTGTCTGAAGAACCATTCAGAAAGACTTGGTACAGATTGAAAAGAGTGGGGCATGAAACAAGACAGTCGCAGCGCTCGTAAACCGAGCCGAGCACCAGCCACTCCGGAAATCGGGAAGCCAAAAACCGTTATTTGGTCACATTGAAAGAAGGAGAACGTGAACAGTGGGTTCCAGATGAAGCAAGTTGATCGGTGGTCACTCTTACTGGGTGGTGTCACCTCTAGGTAAGCGTTATTTAGCACACAAAGCTATGAATCAGCTGTGACAAAGTCCAGGGAGGGAAAATTTCACGGAGAGGAACAATGTGTCCAATAACAGGAATAAGCGGGGCGCCACCCACAACCAGAGTCAACCCTACGTTGGTACAAGTACCAACGGGG